AATGATCACATTAACTTACAATTAATTCAGGCTCTATAAACAAAAACACATTTTAATAACTTTGTAGTGTCTGAAGAAATATTGATTATGGTTGTTGTTTTCCTTGTCGATTATGTATTTATGGAGGCTGCCGCAATACAGATAAAATGTATTATCATTATTATTTTGCAATTATTGCCAAATGAAGAAATGTCATTAACAAAATACAAACGTAAGTAATTGTTTAGCTGATCACTTGTTTGCAGCTGTTCAATGACCTTCGTTGATCCGTTGCGACTCAGTGGGGCGCACATCGAAAATGATAATATCCTGACATGATTTGAATTTGCTATTGTCCAAATGTTTAGCCAGAAACAGGTATATGATGCTTAAGAACATAGAAACTAGCTGAATAACTTTGACATCACCTGGCAACGCCTGTAAAACTGGTCATTCTGTTAGACTAACAACGACATCTCTAAACTTTATAATCAACTTTTAATGCTATCCGTGGTAGAAAGCCATAGCATCGACCCACGCTAGCTCCCAATCATCAAGATTATTGTTACCATTGTTTCCTCTTTGTCGATGTTTACTACAAACATGGGGTACTGGAAGCTCAACAGTCTCAGCTTCATGGATACAGTTTACAAAAACAAAATTGGAGCTATTGTTTGTACGAGGTAAATCCTTTCATATTTTGGAAGAACGATGTAATGTTGCAATGGGATACAAATTTTATTCAAGAATTTGATTGTTTTTCTTAACATTGAAATAAACGTGATTTGAAATTAATGACATGAATAGCACAGCGATCAAGCTGAAATTTTTTGTAGTGGATAATGTTGTTAATTACGTTTCAAGGCATCATCTGTTTTCAGTTTGTCCTGTTACGAACATAGATACATTATATTAAATCTGCAAAACTGTTGTGACAAAAGTACGTGCCTCAACTGGTAGCTCAAAATAAGTTGTACCTTTGTACATTGTCGTGTCGGTATTTTATAACATATTTTTGTTGTTTATTTCGGGAAAACTACGAGTATATGGTAAGCTATTCTTGTGAAATGTTAAATTCATCTCAATTAGAAAGGTCTGTTGCAAATTATTTATACTGATTTGGAATTGTTCTAATGATATGGTTTATAAAAATGTCACAGTACCCGTGCTTCATGAACGTTTACTATGAGTAACCATTGAACCAACGTGGAAAATTGAACTCTTGCAGACGAGCGAACGCTTTCGCCTCCTGATAACCTTACTTTCAGCTGTTGGCTATTTTATATTATCCCTTGCGGCGCGATTTGAGGGGGTATTAAATGACACCGTCAATCCCTTCGTCCATCCGTCAATCTATGCATGATTTCCGGAGCAGATCTTGAAAAACGTATACTATGTCTTCACCAAACTTTGCACGGAGATAGGTCTTGTGGTGAACTGGTGCCTTTTGATAGTTGTGGATTTTCGGGGGAAAATGTTTTCGAGGTTTTAGGGTGTCAATTTTGACGTAGGCTGGATATGGTGGAAGTGCCCTTTTCCGGAAATCTTAAACAACGTTCAATAATTCTTCGCTAAACTTGCAACATAGACAGGTCTAGTGGTAAATCTTTTGATAGTGTCGGATTTTGAGACAGAAATGTTTTTCAATGGCAACAACATTCTGCCATGACGCCAAGAGCACTTTGAAAACGGTGCTTTCTTGGAATGCGTACTTAAACATGGGCAAATAGGCCTACCATTTCAGGAGTCACAGTGACATACACAACAAACTATTAAAATATGCTCCAGTGTTGGTGATACCATACATTATCAAGTCATTAAACACTGACCAGAATCATGTTTACAAACACGATTACATATTGTTGATGAAATTCGGACGTCAGTACATTTTTGTCTTCATGACATTATGCCATAGCTGGTTCAATACATCGACCTGGACAAGATCATGTCGATCCTTACAACTATTAACCAATTTTACTGACTAGCTGCTTCTGCAAGTCCATGGAATGCACGATCAATAATCGATTAGTTTCGGAACCAACAATCTAATTATAAAAAAACCCCAGGAGTACCATTGATCGTTACGTTCGTTTAGAGTCATTTTCTTAAAAAAAGGAAATAGTGAGGGGGTTATTGTTTGATGCCCCATCGGCAATATTTCCGCCATATCGTAAGGAAAAATATAAAAATAGGCAACATGCAGTGTCTATATTTTTAGATCTAGAAAAGCATAATACACTGTTTGGATAAAATAAATAATGACACGTTTTTATCACACACACACACAAGATAAAGATCATGTGGGTTGTACCCTGTCTGATCATTTAACTGGGATCAGGGTATCCCACAAGGCAGAATTTTGTCTTTCAAGTTGTTTTGAATAAAACATTAATAGCCCCTCTAACGTTTTGAACGACTCTATTGATGGATGTTCTTTGTTGATGTCTTAACACTCCCTGAAGTGGGTACGAATATGAATATTCTCAAAAGGTTCCGAAAGAAAAGACTATCTGAAATACATAAACGGTAATTAGAAACTGGGTTTAGATTAATACGAATACCCTAACCTAGTATTGGATGGCATTCCTTTTCAGATGCAAGGGATTTGAAAGCAAGTTCTTTTGCATTATTTCCCACCATTATTTAACCTTTTTATCACAAAGTAAATATTTAAAGAAATAATGCTTGTGGGCTCTGCAAATGCAGAGTGTGAAGGGCACCCAAAACTCCTCCTCCAATAATACAGAGTTCTGATACGCTCCAAACTGAATTATGGCTTCATCGTTTATGGAGGAGAGTGCAAAGGTAATGTAAAACAACTTGAATCAATGCCTAAGACTTTGCCGTAGTACCTTCCGAACATCTCCAAATATAGTCTGCATGTGGACGCTGATGAACCGTCGTTATAGAATGCCACCTGAAACTATCTTTCTAATGTATGACAAAACTATATTCAAGTAAATCTAATCCTGCGTATGACTGCGTTTCTAATTCATCTGATAGGACCTATACAATCGAGAACCACACATTCCCTCACTTGGAATAACAATAAAACCTGCCATTCCTGCTGCCCGTATCAAACTCGAAACTATAACTCCGCCTAAGCTTCTGTCTTTTCCTCCATGGCAGTTGGGACAACCATATTTTCTGAATTAAAGAAACCCTAAAAAAATCAAATAATCTACCAACAAGCATATAATCAGCTAAAAACAACACGCGACCCTTATAAATCCATGTTTGATTCCATTGGTGGTGTCACATTCGCTAGGACCATTGCCACTGGATCCAGCACTATATCATCGAGATATATGTTTATTGGTACCACTTATTAGACTAGCGGGATCGGGTGGTCAGGCTCGCTGACTTGGTTGATGCATGTCATCTATCCCAATTGTGTGGATCGATGCTCATGATGTCAATCACTGGATTGTCTCGTCCAGACTCGATTATTTACAGACCGCCGCCATGTAGCTTGAATATTAAACGGCGTTAAACAACCAACAAATAAACAAACAAACAGACTACTTGTTAAATCGACGAATATTTGTTCATTTTAATTTTCAGCTGGAGGGACGGTGTAGGGGAAGTTCGTCTGGTCCCTTGTATGGTTGCTAAACATTTGCAAACACCTTTTGTCATCGAGGTTATTCAGTGATTCGTTTATACCATTTTGAACGTTTATTTTGCCTATTTTTGCTGGTGATCTATATTGTTCTGTCAAATAATAGTCATAACTTTTAACTGCTCTATATACGAGTTTTACATAAAATCTGTGATAATCTAATTTGTATACTGTTCATCGTAGACAAGAGTTAAGATATTGTTAGTGTACAATTTGTGCTTGTCACTGTACAGCTGGAATATGTAAAAGTTAAACTCACTCACTCAATCAGTAGGATTTGGGTGTATTAATGGGTTAAAGTAGTTTGGGAACATAAATGAATTGTAGTATATAAATTATTCAATAACGGTATCAGTTATTTTTTTACAACAGTGCCTTTGCATATTGGCCGATTGCTAAATCTTCAGAGACATACATACACTTAAACTACCTCTCTATAAGTGCTGTTTCCACTCCATAAGTGGGTAAGGCCTTTGGTATATGTGTAATGGGTTACTTCATTGTTTGCATGTTATATTGTTTGGCAGAGTCATATACACGTATAAAGTATATGTCATCCCCGAGTTAAACTTCTCGTCCCCAAAATCGTCACATTTTCATGTACAATACGTACTAACTGTTTTTTACGTTATCATCAAACATGAAATATCTCTTTGAAAAGTGCTCACTGATTAGCTGCATTGAACTAACTTCAGGGAAGATAATATAGGATGTCAATGTCATTCTTGACAAAGTACCTAGTTAGAAGGAAAATTAATTAAAATGTCAGGATTGGTCCTCTAGATCTGTATGATTAACTACCTTGCAGATTGCAGTTAAACCAGTGGCGTTGTTATTTATATGGTTTACAAAGGACCAATGCTGAAATTTCAATAATGCTCTTGAGACCCATGGGCATTCTGGATTTAGAATACAGTAAAGTACGGTTATAACGAACCCAAGGGGACTACTAATTTGAGTTCGTTATAACCGTAGTTCGTTATAAGCATATATACAGCATAACTACAGCAAATAGTCGGGACCCAAAACGTAAGTTCCTCATATCCGTCAGTTCGTTATAACCGTAGTTTACTGTAGGTCCTTTGCAAACTATGCTGGTCGTAAGAGGCGACTTCATAGATCGGGAGGCTTGGTTACACTCGGTGACATTGTTTCCTCTTGCCAACGAACCCCAGCGGCGTGGATCGTTGCTCACAATAACAATCTCAGGATCGTGTGATCCAGATTCGCTTATTTACAGGTCATACAGCTGGAATGTAGCTGTGCATTGTAGCCCGTTCCATGGTCTGATGAAGAAACATTGTAAGATTCATTGTAACGCTAAGTGGAAAGAAGATTTTCAGATGTTGAGAGAATGTATCCTGTGTTTTCTGTGGGAGTAACAATTGCCAACTGAAGCTAAATTAACTGTCTGAAACTGACGTCTTTAATGCAAAAGGTACAGATTTCTACTGACAGCCATTCAGATAGACGTCGAGGTTCTGCACCATGGTCGCCTTTGTTGTGTAAATGAGTTTCTGGCGGTTAAAGCGCCAAAGAACAAGCTCAGCATCCTCTGGTTTCTGGACCTCAAAGTACATCATCTACAAAAGAAAAAGAAAAAAACATAATCAGTATTTTTTCACTTTTTAGACGATGACGTGATTACAATATGTTTTCGTTGATAGTGCCTAAATTAATTATGAGTTAATGTGTTCATTAAATACTGGACGCGAGTTGGAAATTGAGCTGATTGAGAAATCTACTTGGGTTCATTGAAGCGAGAGTGGGCGGGTGTTGTTTTATGCAATCTTCTGTTTTTGGCATATTCCGCATGATAGGTAATCGAGTTTGGACCAGGCAATCAGTTAAAGAAACGAGAACAAACGATCCAGACTCAAAGACAAGCAGAGCCTTATCAAGACCGCAATGGTAGTCACTTACCTGAATAGGAAACACTCCTAGAACTCTGTACATGAGATCCTGGTGATTGTCCAGTCTGTACTTAAGGGTGTTTTCCAAATTGTCTCGGATTTCCTCTTTGTATTCTTCACTGCTTAGACCTGAATTATATATGTTAACACAATAACATAGGTATGATTGTTGGTTTAAGCATTAAAATGTATAAATGGCCGCCTAACAAATGAAATAAACCATGACACCAATTATGCCGTAGACGTAAGACCTGATTTGTACCGTTGAAGCACAACAATGCAACCTTGTACAGTGAAACTGATGATAAGTTTTACCTTCCATTCTGAATGTGGCATCCCGAAGGTAAATGAAGTCTCCAGTCAGATTGGTTGGAGGTGGGGCACTTGCAATGAGGGTTTTGTTTACCCCCAGATCCTCGGCAAGTTTTTCACCCGGGAAAAGAGACTTCACAGTGATGTCCAGATTAGCTGCGAACAACTGCTCCTCGAGAGGACGTAGATCGCACAGAGCGGCAATATTCAGAACTGGAAAATAATTAAAGAGACTTAATAATTTAGTGAGATATGGTCATCTTGACCCCGAAACATGTAATCCCAACTTACAAAAAATCTTGAAATAACAAAAGAGAAACCATGTTTAACTTGCCGACTCGTTTCGATAACTTCTTTTGTTTCTCTCCAACATAAATCAGTTACTTCGTTACAGTTACAACATGGAACAACGATAGAACCAAACATTTCGTCAATATATGCATGCCCATTCACAATAACTAATAGCCTGCAATGTGTGATACCCACACTATGACACTACTGTCCCAATACCGATCATATTAAAGCATTGTTGCCCTGGCATACCATTCGCCATATGCAAGTTGATCAAAAGTATCCATAAATGTGTCGAGTGTGTATCGCCCAACATGGTGGACAGATATTGACACACAGATAATTTAACATATTCATCCTCATAACACCAGGTCGTTTACTATCATTTCTTCAGTTCCGGTACTTTTTGTCGCATAATATGTAACTTGAAAAGGCATTAATAAGATCAATAATTTAATATTTGTGTTAATGTCAGAATATTTTCGGAACATATGGTCAAAATAGAGAATTGAATCGGACATGATTTTAAGACGAATACATCAAGTTGGAAACACAATCTTACAACGTCAGCAATGGTGTCGTCACATAGAATAGGGCTTACAGTGTCGACAAATCAAAAGCAAACTCTATCTTTATGCTAAAAGTAAACATGATGCATTGTTTTGGACTAAAAAGGTTTTACTTTCCACTACTTTTAGAACTATTGCTTGCCATGCAAAATGTCAATCACACGTTCATTCATTCAGTAATTGATCTTGGCGCTAATTTCCGATTGGCTCCACATATGACAATGTGGGGTCAAAAGCTTCCAAATATGTAAAAAAATACTCTTTATGATCTCACCACACTCATTATCAAGCGCACAAATCAGAATGTGTCTGTTGTTTAACACTCAGCAATATTTCAGCTATATGAGGCGCTCTGTAACTAATCAAAGCTTGACCAGCATCGATACGTGCAATTAGGATACGATAACATGTATCAACCAAGTCAGCGAGCCTGACCACCCGATCCCGTTTGTCGCCATAGTTGCAAGCATGGGTTGCTAAAGATCTATTCTACCCGGATCTTCACGAGTAAAACACAGCAGAAAAGCATACACCAGAAAAGCGAATCAAGGAAGTATGAAGGGGACCCCATTGACTTGTTTTCTGTGAACAACAAAACTTCCAATTTTCTGATAGACTGTCAAGTTTGTACTTACTCACTAATACTCTTGGTTCACCAACCTCCTGCAATAAGAAGCGAAGACGCATCATTGTGTATTGTAAAACCTGTTCACCTCTTCAACATGATTTGCAGTGATACTTCCAGAGATAAATTAAAATGAATTTGAATTTACATTCTTCAAAATTCATACAGTGGATTTTCAGCAAATAAAGTATATCAATTTGAACCAACCTTGAACATGAATTCAACACCCTCTGTTTTGTCCAAGATGCTCTTTACAGTGGCCATGGTGGTCTTCACATCAGCAACACCTCTTGGCTCAACGATGTCAACAAGGAAACGAGTGTGCTCTTCGCATCTGACAGGGCCCAACATAAGCAGTACAGCTAATACGACAAGCCCGAGATTTTCCATCGTTATCTGCTGCAATTGAACAACCGATTCACTGCTTCATCACAGCTAAACCCCCCTTTATGTATAAAATTTATGAATAGGTAGGTCCATTTACAGAAAGGGTGGTTAGGTACGTTGATGTGCAAACAATCAACGTTATTATAGAATCACACGAGGAGATGCCCATGGAAGTTGTAATGAACTCTACCTATCTACATCCAGTATGAGCAACCATTGGTCAGGCAATTGCTTTGCCAATTTGTGACCACAACCAATCACATTTCGAAGTTTACAGTATGTTGCCTGCTCGTCCAATCAAACCCGTGTAACGAAATCAACGTTTGGTTCATAGACTGCAGATTTCTGTTGATTTGCAAGCATGTGTAGCATGTGTCCGTCAACATATATTTTCTAAATGTTTTCATGCTTTTAATGAAGGTGCTCTCCTGATTTAATGAATTTTCATCCATTATCTGCTTGTTATCTATTACTGTTGTTGTCTATGTTCAAGTGCTGCTTATCACAACATGTCATGCACATATAAATCACATCACTTGGTTGTTTTCACTCCAGTTTGATAACGGTGTAAGAATCTACATCGAAATGTTGTTATATGCATGAACCAGAAGTTGTTATCCATAGATTTGTTGTAAATTTTCCATACTTATTTGCCCACTTCTAGAATGCCAATCAAACAGTTAGAATTAACAACCAACCTAAACAAAAAAGGTTTCCATACTTTGTACTTGAAATTGTTGATTTTCTTGATTTTTTAAAACGATTTTCCTGCTGATCAATATATTGACCTATATTAAACAACAATATCAATGCAAACATTTCATTATCTTTTCAGATTCGTTGTCTTGACTTCAGACACTTAAAAGTCTCTCCTCAAATCACCCTATAATCCCAGACATTTCAGAACTTTGCAATGATCTTTCTCCTGGCCTTTCTTACATCGTCCTTTGCTGGTCGCCAAGTCATGTTAGGCATAATAGTTGCGTCACTCTTTATCCCGTACAACGAATTCAAACCGACCATCAAAACATATTACTCAGGAATTCATGCAAAAGAGGTGGGACAATAGACTTCATGAAAATAAATCAATAAATCGTACCTACTTGGGTTGTTAGTCAAGACATGATGAGGTCGTTATTACGACTATGTCGTATTAGCCACAGTCGGTTTACCCACGAATATAGATGCAAACGAACCTACTAAGTGTATCCATTGTGATGAAAGATTCACCATCAAGCATATATTGCTTGACTGTGTGGACCTTGCATTTGCAAGGGTCTTACGTTATCCCACAGTAAATCTGAAACATCTTTTTTCTGTTGTAATCGGGCACCTTATCTAAAGTTACTTGAAAGAAATTGGTGTGTATCATTAATTTAAAAAATCTGGAATGATGATCAACCAGTGCTTTAAGCCACCTGACTGCGAAGCATTCTTTAATATTGCCTAGTATTGTGCACAACCACCTGAAGCCAAAATGATGACGTAAATCCTGCCGGGGTATCGTGCAGGAAGCTGAGGCACCGTAAGTCTCCATGATCCCCAGCAAGGTTTCCTTGCTTTGGTTACTGGTGGCCTATAGCCCGTGTTTTATTCTGCAAAAAATAATATTGTTATGCTGAAATATGTTTCACAAATCTGTTTTTAAATATAACTTTGCATTCATGACTCACTTGTGTATATATCAACTTGTTCTCGTCTCTAAATGGCTGAAATAAGGCCGAAGCGACTTAAATTGTAACTCGCTCAAGTAATAGGTCGCACAAAAGTGGATTAATAAAATATTCTATGTTCACAACTTGAAAACATATTTTTTTAACAGAAAATACACGTAACAAAATCAAACTTTGCACCGCACCTCTATTACTATGGAAATGGTTCCTTAAACTTGAAAAGAATCCATGCAGTAGTTTTCAAGTAATAGGTCACACGATTGTTTTAAAAAAACTGTCACCTACCATTGTTCAAACAGTTGTGAATATAAACTACAGAAAGAGTCCTAGCAATCCTTCTTCATGGAACTTACTTTAATGGACCGAGTGGTCATGTTTGGTTGACGTGGCGTTGTACCACAATGACGCTTATCATTGTTTACGATACTGACCACTGGATTGCTGAGTGTGGCGTAAGGCAACATACTCACCCATACTTTCATAAAAAAAGTGTGTGGTGATCCAGAAGAGCAGGAAGCACCTAAACACCTGGTGTCATCACTCAATCAATTTGAGTGTCCATTCATATACTTGTATTCACAATGTACTTTTACGCTCAATGGAATCTGTTTCGGCAGATAATCGAGACTGAATATTCTCCGGCTGACGTTTTGAATTTAATGAAATCTCTATCATATGTATCGTGCAAAATCACACTTGGTCACATATCACCTCTATATTTTTCGGAAAGTAAAACGTGCTCATGTTTAGGAATCAGGGTTTAACATGTGATTTTTATATCTTATCTTTTATCATCATTTTATCTGTAATAAGTTTAAACGTCGCATCCAAAAATATTTCACGTTTTGTGGCTACTGGTGATAGTCCGGACAGTGTGCAAGCACAATGAAATACATTGTCGCAGTTAAAATTGATAACTAATTCAGACACCTTTTACCGAATACACAAGTCCTTATATGTTTCCCCTAAATGCCGAGCGCCAGACGGTGTATCAACAAGTAACATCTTTTTGGTTGACCAGGACAAGGGCCCTGACATTTTTTGGACAGGTGCTCTATTCACTACACCACGGAGGCGGTGCACGTTTCTGACTATAAAGTGATATATATTTGTAATATTGTATATGAAACACATATATGAATTAAATGTGTGAAGCGTGAACTATCCTAACAATGATAAGATAATGAATATAAGAACAAAACCTGATATTAATTACACGTGTTCAAAATACGCTGTTATATATATTTGTATTATTGTAAACGATTGAGTCTAAATTTTACCAAAATATCAGAATATTATGTTCAAATAAGCTCACCTTTAAAAGATTAGACTTATTGGATTACTGATTATCTATGTCTCTCACTCAGTATTATGCTATAGAAAAGTATAATGTAATCTAGTTTGTTTCAGCTGGTACATAATGGGCACCGTCAGTCAGTCCGTTTGTCGGAAAAATGTCGTTTCCAGAACAGATCTTGAAAACCGTATAAAATTTCTTCACCAAACTTAGCACATGCATAGGTTTAGTGGTTAGCGGGTGCCCTTTGATAGCTTGGGATGTTTTTTAAAAAGACACTTCAAGTTCCCATGGCACCAACTTTGACTTAGACTGGTAATGGCGTTTGTGCTCGTTTCAGGAGTAGATCTTGGAAACCGTACACTATTTCTTCAACAAACTGCGCACAAAGATAGTTTGGGATTTTAGGGGGAAGTTGATTTTACTAGCTGACCTATTCACGACTATATCGATAATTTTAGCCTCTTTTTGAATATTAACCCGAAAATTAGCTATTGTAAGTGTCATACTGAAGTCACAGCTGTAAAGCCCGTGAAGGTCCGGATTAAAATAGATCTTCAGCAACCCATTCTGATCGTAAGAGACGAGTAACGGGATCTTGTGGTCAGGCTCGCTGACAAGGTTGATGCATATCATCGTATCCCAATTGCGTGGATCAATGCTCAAGCAAAGATTGCTGTTTTGAATGTGCTTTTTCTCTAGTCGTCTGAGGTTGTTTATGGTGTTGATTGCCACGTCTCAATGTAGACGACGGATGAATGTTTTGACAGGCATTACTAAGCAGTCGACAGATGATAGAGTAGAGAAAACTTATCGATAACAACTTTTTCATAGCATCAACGGCATAAACATATATACCGAAAAGTCGCCTTTACAGTAAATAAAGAAGTTGTTATCCATATATTTTCTATACTTTGTCATCCGTCAACTTCTAAGTGATGTTTATCAAACAATTTAATCGTCTTGTCCAGACCGTCGTCATATAGCTGGATCTATCAGAACTGTCGGTATGTGTCAAAAAACAAGACACTACTGAAGGTTCCTATCCTCTATAGACACCATCATACACAAACTAAAAAATGCAAACACTTATGCCATAAGAGTGAGATTATACTATAATGTCAGTCCACTTATCAAACCTTGTATGGACCAGACAGTTTCTCATCTGTCTATGGAAATTACTGTCCTACAACACTTCTAATGCTCCTCCTTGACCCAGGCCTTGACCATGATCTCCCCATTGTGAAACAATTAATACTATAATAGACAAATTATATACTGTCCCAAAACCATGAATAGAGATTCACACAAATGCAAAGTGATGGCAAAATCTGTACTAATCTCTATGACAACAGGAATGACATCGTGAATTTTCACTTCTTCACGAGCAGTGCACCACCAGCTGCACGTTATGGCGTCTGCATTTCCTTGTTGCTTAGGGCAACATACGAACATGTTTATGCTATTCACATTTCCCGGAAAGCTTTTTTCTCAAGGTGTCAATTCAACCCTGCAGGCCTTCGCATGGATGAAGTCAGCCTGAAAAGTGAAACAGAGAGCTTTTGTTTGCTGCTCAGGACAAGTCACTTCCCACTCGAAACCGTCAATGTGTGATTTTGCATCAAACTGTTAATATGAAATGTAGATTATGCAATGAATTTAATGAGACTGTCCAACACATTGTCAGTGGATGCCCCGCTTTGGCACAAACACAGTATCTTAAGCGACAAGATGGTGTAGCTCGATCATTTTATTACCGTCTGTCCGATGCTTGTGGTTTTGACACAGAGGTCCATGATACGACCTGGAATATGTAGAAGGCGTCATGGAAAATGATAAATACAAAATTCTTTGGAATAGGCCCGTTTACAGCTTCAGACCCATCAAGGCCAACAAACCTGATGTTGTCCTTGTCTATCAATCCAATGAAATCATTTATATCATTGCATTTTCTGTCCCTTTTGACACGAATTTGATTGACAAGATTGCAAAAAATATGGCAAATATGCGGACCTCGCTTTTGGTACCTTAGGTTTGGTACCTCCCAATCTGTTGACTGA